AAACCAGCTCCACTGATCCAGTTCACATCTTCTTCTGTGTAATCTTCTTCAGCTGCAGTTTCTGCATCCTCCACTGAGAAAATCTGCTTGTTTAGTAGCTTCTGAACATGATCCAGCTGTGCTTGCACGTCATTAATCTGTTCCTTCCCAAGAAATGATGTAGCCTTTGTCTTCACAATGTTCTTTGTGTTGTTGCTTGAAGCTAAGTTATCAATCAACTTCACAGCTTCTTGAGGATTCCTGGTGGTGAAATTTCCTTCACTAGCTGTGTCTAGAGCCATCTGGTACTTCAAAGTGATGCCTCTGTAGAAAGTGCAGAGCAGTTGCACGTTGTTGAATCCTTGGTGTGGACAATCTCGCTGGTATGATTTGAATCTGTTCCATGTGTCTTTAAACGATTCTTCAGGATCCTGAGTGAATGTAGCAATTTTCCTCCTCCATTCTTCAGCGCGTGAGTCATCAAAGAAGTTACGCAGGAATGCGTTTTTGATGTCGCTCCAGGTTGTGAGAGAACCTAGTGGTAGTTGTCTCAGCCACTACAAAGCTTCTCCAGATAGAGAGTATTTGAAAAGCTTGCAGAGAAGATAGTCTTGAGGGACTCCATTGGCTTTTATGACGGTTATGAGATCCTCGAACCTCCCCAGATGGTCCATAGGATGCTCATGGGACAACCCACAGAAGGGTATTTGTCCTACAAGTGTGTAGTACTGCGGCTTGAGCTCGAAATCTCCTCTCTGAATAGCAGGGGGGCGTATGGCTGATCGGTTGGTGTAGAACTTATCTCGAGTGTTGCAGTCAGCCAAAGTTCTAGCTCTATTAGCCTCTTCTACAGGTTGAATAAGATCTGTAGGAGCAGTCTCTTGCTCAGGAATGATCTCCTTATAAGCATTCAACTTCTAAATTGCTGCATTACGCAGGTCACCATCTTGATCACGCAGGTCTCCATTCTCATCAGTAGTAAAAATAATAGTCGCTACCATGTCTCGCCGGTTAGTATCGATCGATGTAGGATGAGGTATATCGATCGATGTCGGGTGAAAGATTTCGGTCGACGAACTGTTGTTGATGTCGATCGATGGAAGGGTGCGAGTATCAGTCGACGAAGAAGGTGTCTCGGTCGACTGTGGTAAGCGAATATCGGTCGACGAACTGTGGTTGATGTCGATCAATGTGGAACGTAAGTATCTGCGGATGCTACGTTCCAAACTGTGGCGATCTTCTGAGTACACAAGTTGGTTGTTCTTGTTGCTTCTATTACTGCTGGGCATGTACCTGATAGAGACAAGAAAATTTTTTTGTGTCAGAAGATAATTAAGCAGTAAAAAGAAAAATAACGTAGACCTAATCAGATTAAATCTAATGGTGATCTTAGTTCCCCGGCAACGGCGCCAAATTTGATATCACTCAAATTACCCTAAGGAGTGAATTACTCTCTCAAATAAGAGGTTCAATTGTAGTACTTAGGGATCGAATCCACAAGGAACTAAGTAACACAAAAGCTATAATCCTAAGTGATTATGCTAGGTTGATTAAGGTTTAAAAGTAAATTGCAGTTGTGAGCAATGGTGAGTTGCTCAAGAGAATTGGTTGTAGGTTTTAAACAATAAAATAAAGTAGTTAGATTCAAGGTTACTGTTCAGGTAATCAGGATTATAATGCTATAGATGTCTTTATAAGTTGCTTGCAAGATATTAAAGAACTTCAATTCTTAGATAAGCCTAATTGTTATCGCTATTAGACTCGTCCATTGATCTGACTGCCAGCAATATCGACCGTTGGTACGATCGCCATATCGGACGATATAGGTAGCCGTCGATCGATTACTCTATTGGAGTATCGATCGATATAGCTTCAGATCGAATTGAATATGTGTTCACCAAGATCATAGACCGGCTCTCGCTCGTCCCTAGAGGATCTCAGCTTATACCTCATTCCATGATCATACTCTAGTTAGCTACTCTAGAATAAGCATTAGGGTTCATCAGGATAATGAATATCACAACTCAACAATCCATAGTTGAGGCTAATCCCTCATAACTATTTGAACCCTAAATCTAACAAGTGAATCTACTCAGACATAGCTAAGTGATTCATAGCAGCAAGGTAATAATAGAAATTCATTAGATTAGAAGATTGAACTCTTGGTTCTTTTGAACAACAAATCTCTTTGTGTGTTTCTTCTAAATCTAGAATTCTATAACCTTTAGGAAAATGAGAATAAGATGAAAAGAATACTTTTATAAATCAAAGAACATAAAAAGCATGTAAAGCTTTTGAAGTACAAAAAACATGTAAAGCTTTTGAAGTACAAAAAGCATGTTTTGCCAAAACACATAGGCAAAACTATAAATATGAGCTCCATTAGGTTAAAAACTCGTCAGGGGCAATCTTGTAATATTGAGAGAACTTGGGCTTCAAGGCCGAGTCAACTTGTTCTTCACGCTTCATATCGATCGATGGTACATGGTGTACATCGATCGATGGAGTATCTCAATTCGTCATCCTCTTCGGAAGCGTCGTCGATCGATTACACAGAATGTGTATCGATCGATATGTATCTCTGGATATCGACCTTATTGTCTAATCTTTACAGTCATTTCAGGAAATCTCTCCTTTAAGTCCATAAGGGCACCTAAATCATCACTTTACTCCAAAATACTTTTGAACCTGAAAACATACCTAATAGACTCCAAAACATATAAATATATTATAAAATCATATAAATACCATGGTCAAAAGTGGGTCAAAACCATGGTATATCAATTAACTTATGGTAAATGCTTTCCTAAATGTTTATTTGGTAAATGTTAATTAGATAATAAAGAGTATAATGCTTACACTAATGTTCTACCAATCAAGCTCTATGTATGGTAGCATCATATCATGGTAACTTGTGTTCATAGTCTTGTTGAGACAGATAAGGGCTAAATACAATGCAAATAGGCAGGGCCGGTCTTGGAGCATGCCTAATGAAACATTCGCTTCAAGTCCCCAAAATATTTGAAGAAAATTACATGAGTATAGGCCTCAAACAAAAAAATTTAAACCTCCAAAAAATTGTTTTACATAGAAATCGCCACAGGTCTCCAAAATCTCAAGGTCAGCCCAGCAAATAGGCTCTTCTTTTGAGAATTTGATAATATATAGTCTACTTAGAGCATCTTCAATAGAAATTCTATAATTTCAAATATATATTTTTTTGTTTTTTAAAAGAAATTTGAAAACTTCAAATTTGAAATTTTAAGGAATAAAAACTTAATATCGTAAATATTTGAAGTTTTAGACATGAAACTAAATAAAAAATATTAAATTTAAAATATTTGCTTGAAGGTTAGTATTTTCAAAAAAAATCAAAACTATAATTAGACAACAAGAATTTAGTATTTTTCTTGTAGTTAATATATAATTATGAATTTGTATTTATAATTTTATATTTTAGTGTAAGATTTTATTAATTAATATTGTTTTATAATATATATATATATGTTTTTATTTATAAATATTTTATGAATTTTACATTAACCATATATGACCAGTATAAAGACCATAACGAAAATATATAAATAATTTTTAAGTTGAGTTTGAAGTTTTGTTTTTGGAGAAAAATATCTTAAAATTTTAAATATAGAGTTTTGGAAATTTTGAAATAAAGAGTATTTTTGGAGATGCTCTTAAGGAACTAGTGAGTAAAACCGATATGACCCTCGCTTGGTTCAATAAGTATGAATCTCGTGAAACTGAGGGAATATGCGGTTCAACGGCTATTCGAGTCCTTGCTTCCTTCGTCTTTCAGCTGCAGTTGGGTGTTTTTATAACAACAACATGGTTATGATAGCAGAAGATTCAAGGTGGATTGTCTGTCCTCTTGAATTCTCAAGTCAAAATACAAAAACGAGAGCAGAAAAAGAATCGGTCTAGTTAGTCAAGTAGTGGCCGGGACTATATAGTGAATGAAAACTTATGAGGAGACTCACACCATCGTCTTGTTTCCATGTAAGATAAAAAATATTAATATAGATGGGCTTCTAACTTAAAACTAATTGGTGATAAGGTGAGATGATGGTTTTTTTGCGTCAATCTCGGAATGTTCAGACAATGATCGATGGGTAGTCTTTTAGGCTGGATCGATAAAGATCAGGTTGGACTGCGTGGATAGTGGGCTCTGATACCATATTAAGATAAATGAACTTCTAACTTAAAACCAACTAGATCATAACCCGTCCGACTGGGCGGGTCTTTGTTTTTATGGTATATATAACATTTCAAAATTACAATTTAATGGTTCCAATTTTACTAAGTAATAGTATACTGTTTAAACATTGTATTTTATCACTGTATTGTATAATAGAGGCGTCGTAAAATGTTGTGACTCGTAAACATTTTAGTAATAGTTTATAAAGTTTTTTTGGTTATATTTGGTGCAAAGTTATATACACTAAATAATTTAGTCAAATTTTAAGTTAAGTTTTTAATGAAGAATTGGGAGACTAGTATATCACTGTTAAAAACTTATAGCAATAGTCAATATAAATTATATAAATAAAATATATATTATTCTTGATTTATTGTAAATACATTTAAAACATGAATACATATATGTATAAATAATTTTCAAAAGTAAAGTAATATCAATGATAGAAAACCCAAAAACAAGAAAATAGTAATTTGGACCGCAGTAATCTTTAGTTTAATAAATAAGACATTAGATTTGTAAGCTATCCTTGTTTTCAATCATCATAATTTTAAATAATTCATATTCATGTTTTCAAACCCTTAACTTTTTGTACTTCAACTTTAATAGTATAGATTGTGATAAGTGGAGTATCTCATCTATCTTATTTAGTAGATAAAATCCCTTACAACTTACCATGTGGAACTTTGTCTCTAATAAACATTTGAGGGCATGACGAATCTCTCAAAGGGTATCATCGCTACCATTAGCCCAATCTAGTTGGATATTTATTTTAACTGGGTTTTTAGTTTTGCAAACTAGAGGGCATGACTCTCTACGGCTTCTGCATCCACATCTGAATGATGGACTTAGCAAGATTAGACAAGAGTTATTACTAAGCTTCAAACTAAATGAACTATATTGGTTTTAGCTTATAGTTTTCTAATTGACACTTTATAACAAGATTTAATACAAGACTTATATTTATAACGACCCAAATCAACAAAGGTGGCTTGTTGTAAAACAAAGAAAAATGGGTTTAAGTGAGGAGAGGGACACGTGACGTGAGACCTTCCTCTTCATCTGCAACAATATCACTTGAGCCTTTGCTTGAACCGACCGGTTTGGCGTTTCTGTAAATACCATAAAGTATGAGTTGCATTGTCCCAAACACAAACCCCACTCCGTTTGGCACCTACTCATTTTAATCACAAAATGAGAATTAATTAGTTTAACATAAATTGAATTCAACGCCTATACCAAATCTCACAACAAGACGCAATAGCAACGGTACCCCACCGAATAATAATTGTTGATTTAAGACCAGACACTTTTTAGAAAATATTATTTGTTTGAAAAATTCATCAAGAAAAGAATGTTGGAGACTCAGAGTCCACTACTTTTTAAATTTATTACGCATTCATCGCGATTTATTTCTTGTGCAAAAGATCGAGATTTTGTGTGTGTGTAAATGGTATGAAAAACTACAAAATATTTTTGGATTATTGTTGGAATATAAAAGAGAGATCGATGTAAATATTATAAAGTATTAATATTGAAATAACAACTATTATTATATTATTATTTCAATAATAATTTAAAAACATCTCTCTTATACATTTCTAGTTAAGAGAGAATAAAAATCCATTTATGACGTATGAGCCTCTATCATATAACCTTTATATTAATTTTTATTAAACAATTATTTCAATAATAATTTAATTAAACCTCTCTTATATATATGTAATATATCCCTTTATTAAATTATTAATTTCTGAAAGTATTTAAATTACCATCCAACAAATTAACTAAAAAGTCTAAAATACAATTTGACCGATAATAAAACAATTCAAACCATACATATAGCTAAGAAAAATAAAAATTCAGTATTTTTACTATAATTGAAAATATGGCATTTAAAAAACAAATCAGTTACTTGAAAAAGATATAATAAGTATTTTATGATATTAATAGGATCAGATATAATTTTTAAATTTACCTTATTAGTATCTTATCAAATTTTGTTATAATTTTAAATATATTAACACTAATTTATAAATATTTATTAGTTAATATATTTATTAAAAATCAGTTTTATTCTTTATATATGTTTACACTAGAGCAAGAGACTAGGAGAGATTAGAATCTCTTGAGATTATAAGAACATCTCTAAAGAAGAATTCTCAATCAAAAATTCTCAAAATAATATATTATATTATATTATATTATATTATATTTTTTGAGAATTTTGGATTGTTAATTCCTTTGAGAGTGCTCTAAGGTAGATCTGTAAAGAGCTAAGTAGAACTCTCTTTTTTGTGTAAGTAGAACCTTTTTTTTGGTCAAAGCCAAGTAGAATTTAAACGACACTTACAAGTAGGAAAACATCATGTTGGAGTGAAGCATATACGGCCCAAATCGCGCCATTTAAGAAGAGGAACAACGACAACCAAAACGGCATGTATTTCACGCTCTTTGTCGTCACTACTGTTTTCTGCAAATTAATTAAACACTATTAGTCTATTATCGAAATGTGAGAAATGAGATGATACGTAATCTCTTTCGCTGAGATTTTTATTTATATTGGACCCATCAATTCATGGTTGCATTATTAGCTGAAAAAAAACTAATAAACATGTGGGCTTACATATTATAACAATTGTGAGGTTTATTATATTTATATTAAAAAAGAAAATATAATGACGTACGAAATAAACTATTGACATCTGACGACGATTTTCTTTAAAGACATGTGCTTTATAAAAGAAAAATCATTTGAAATACCAGGATACTACTTTTCAAAAACAAACTCAATCAACATACTCTATAAAATAACTTTTAAACATTTATAAACGTTTAGGAGAGTTAGTTAACATTTTTTAATTATAAATTTAAGATATTTATGAAAATAGTTATATTTTGAAAGTTAACTTGAAAAGTGATATCAAATTTGTGGTAAAATTATAAGTTTCACTTAATTAAATGACATATATATGGTAGTTGGTTTATGATTTGGATGTATGATCGAAATAACCTTTATTAACGTTACTAAAAGTGACAGCTACCACCAAACATAACAACTAACCTCATTTCCTGAATTCTGAAACAAAATGATTCTACTATCAACAGTATTCGAATTCCACTAAACTAAAAGACAAAATGAATCAGTAAACTGCAAAACCAAAATAAATCATTATGTTTCAGTATAAAAGATATTAGTATTTAGACCAGGTGGGTCGTTTTTAATTGTAGACGGCTAGGCTTTTGTTTGGAATACAGTCAAAAGGTCCAAGTCGATACGAATAACGTCAAGTAACCAGCCTGATTGAATAATGAATAGTTGATGTTGATATAAAAGGGACGGGACCCTCTTTATTTCAAAACGTGGGTGATAAAAAATAGATATGCTCAGATATGAATTAAAGTTGTGGACATTATATTATAAAGAATGACCTTACCATAGCAGAAAGAGGAGAACCATACATTATAATGTTGAGACCAGCACATATGAAACCCATCGATTGAGAACGCATTTTCTCATCTTTAAACGCACTTCTAGTGGCCGCAATCGCTGCGATTGGGAAAAACACGTTCAACATCGCTACCACCACGATTGTGTCTAACTGTAAGAAAGAAACAAAAACAAATTATACCAACCAAACGCTTTGTATATGGATGTATGGATGCATTAGAACAGGTCATTCTAGTATAACTTATAGTAAGGGGATCACATATTTTAATCAACTTGACTTAAAATAATGTGATATAGAAGACTGATAGCCAGATCTAAATCTGAACAAATGCATAAAACAATAGCAGATTCTAATCAGCTATCATATAAGAAACACAGAATATCAAGATTCAAGAAGCACAGATGGAGAGTATAATATCATATATATATAAGAGAAGATAAAACAAAACAAACAATAACCTTAAGATGTCGAGGGGCATAAAAGAGAAAAAGTGAGACATAGATGATTTCAACAAGAGCACCAAAGCCATTAACGGTGGAGACGAGATATTCTCCGGGAGTGACGATGCCGTAATATGTCCATAGCGACGATCCTGACAACGTGCAAATGTAGGGCAAGCTTTTGTACTCCTCCGTTGATTTTTGCTTCACTATTTTCCAAAATGTCTCCCTGTTTTTTTTTTGTATATTTGGACAGATAGATCAATATAATCGAAATATAAACTATAATCTTTTTTTGGAACTTATAAACTATATATCATACATCTCAATTTTGTCACTTCTTCCACAAAGATATATATATATATATATATATATATATATATATATAGAGAGAGAGAGAGAGAGAGAGAGAGAGAGAGCTCACACTGGTGAGAGGAAGACGAGTACGGATATTACATTTCCTGCGTCAACATAAGTAGTTGAGAGTAATTGCTATCGAGTGTTTACCAAGAGGAATATTTGGGCACGCGTGTATAAGCACACGTGAGAAAAAGAATATTTGTTACCTATGAGTCCAATATAGAAACTTGCCTCTGCCATTTCTGGAGAAAATATTTGCAGAAGGAAAACTAAAGAGTATGCGAAACTTTTATAAAACCAACAATAAAATGATGTGAAAGAGAGACTGAGGGATGGAGGGGGAGAGGAGGGTACATAAATCGGGTAATGTGGCATGTATTTTTGTATTGCTTTTATTTTATTGAATTATTTATTTCTATTAATATTTTCATGATTTTTGTTTTGTTCACACTATATATATATATGCAATTATATTGGTGATATCTTACATGAAATGAGTAAACAAAAGAAATGGGTTGAATAAATAAAGTAATAAACCATAGTACTGGCATAAATAGATAAATTAAGGAAGTTTTTGGTACGCCTCTAATTGAAGTATATTCCATGTTGGAAAGAATGTTAGCGGATTAATAATACACATTTTCCTATACTAGTGTATACTGTATAATGTAATCAAAGTGTTGCATCATTTTACCAGAAAAAAAATCCAAGAATTATTTACACTACCTACACAAAAAATATCTTTCGAAACTCTATAATACACATAGTTTTTTTTTTCAAATTGGAAAATAACTTGATGACAAAAAAGGAAAATTCAGTCAACAATATTTCTATCTATAAGACTAATTTTTGGCAATTTAATTAATATACAAATCATTTCTCCAAGACTCCAAGAAACTGCACCATATTTAAATAGATATATGCTTGGTAAATCCAATTATTTTAGACTCTAAATGCAAACTATATACTCAAAACCTAGACCACAAACCCAAACCGTAAATCTTAAACCCAAACGTTATACCCTAAACCTAAACCGTAAACCCTAGAACAAATCCTATAGTGTCCATGTTTAGAGTTTGGGCTTAGGATTTACAGTTTAGGTTTAGGATCTAGAATTTGGATTTATAGTATACAGTTTGCTTTACGGTCTAGGATTTGGGTTTAGGATATAGGGTTTAGATTTAGGATATACAGTTTGGGTTTAGGATCTAGAATTGGTATTTAGGGTTAGGACTTATGGTTAAGGGTTTATGATTTTGATTTAGGGTATAAGATTTAGGTTTAGGGTCTAGAGTTTAAATTTAGGATTTAAGATTTAGGATTTAGCTGGCGGTGTTTGCATCGCTAAAAGTGATATTGTTATTTTTTTTTAACTATTTTTATTTAATAATCTATGTAAGATTTTGATTGGTCTTAGAAGATGATGTAAATTTAAAAGTTCATTATAGGGGATGAACCTAAGCTTTGTTCCTTTATTACCATTTGCATGTGTTGGTTTTGTATAACTATTAACCAGGGGTTAAAAGCCATAACTAATCATAAAATATGTAATAAAATATTAAAGACAAATCTTTCACATCGGTTGTTTAAAAAATATTTTTGTAATATATAACATAAATGGATCAATTCATTTATCACCAATTGATTTTAAATTAGAAGCTTATCTAATTTAACATGATATCAGAGTCTATCCACGTATTTCAACCCAATCTACATCGATCTGGTCCAAAGTTAACTCATCAATCTTTGCTCGAACATTCCAAAATTGACGTTTAAAAAACCATTATTGTTAAGATGTATTAAAAATACATTATTTCACATCGGTAGTTAAAAAAATTCTAAATAATATATCAGATATATAGGTCAATCCATTTATTACATTATTTTTAGGTTAGAAATTCATCTAACTAAACATAAGTTGAAATCCATCTAAACTTAACATATAAGTGGTGAGTAAATTATAAGTGATAATTTTCTGTATTTATTAATCTACTTTTACTTGATCAATATTCCTAAACCCTCGCATGTACTGGAGTTGTCTTCAACTTTTAAGGTTAAGCTGTCTGTTATTGTATAATAGCAGATGTACCATTGTGCATGGTGGCTAGGAAAAAGTCGTGCCTACATATTTCTACCTTTTTCAGATTGAACAACTCTACATGTGTTCAAATTTATTCCCTGCTAAAAGAGTGATTCAAGATTTTTAATTTAATCAAATTCTTAGATAAATTAAAGAAATTTCTATAAAAGTATCCTAAGCTCTTATAAGCTTTTAATATCCAGATTTGTTCATTTACCAGAATATATTTTAATTATTGGTTACCTCTTTTATTTTATTTTTAAGTTTGATCACTCTACTTAATTTATATCAAATTTGTGGGGAACTCTGGTTCCAATTCATCTTCTCTTATACATTTCTCTCATCAAAATTCACATATCTGTAATTACTTTATTCTTTTCTTATAAACATATCTGTATTTGTACCATGTGCATGGTGGCTAAGGAAAAAGCAGTGCCTACATAATTCTACCTTTTCAGATTGAACTACTCTACATGTGTTCAAATTATTCCCTGCTAAAGAGTGATTCAAATTTCTTAATAAAATTCTTAGATAAATTAAAGAATTTTCTATAAAATATCCTAAGTTCTTATAAGCTTTTAATATCCAGAGTTTTTCATTAACCAGACAAAATTTTAATATTGTTTCTTGTTTTTTTTTTGTTTTTTGGGTTTGGCCACTCTACTTAATTTATGTCAATTTTGTAGGAAATTCTGGTTTCAATTCATCTTCTCTTATATCATTTCTCTCATCAAAATTCACATATCGGTTATTAAAATGTTTGAGGAATATTAATCATGAAAGACTTAAAAGTAAGTGAAGAAAATAACATGGCTAAGATATTTTTTATCTACGAAATAAAATTGAAGACATTAAAATGTTAATAAAAGTTTAGTTAAAATTACTTGTAATTTTCTCATAAATCAACATTATCGCTTTTGAAGTCAATAAGCTTTTAATCAAATAAAAATATATCATTCACTTGTTAGTTCAGTTAAGAAATTTTCCAAAACAAATCATCACAAGATTGAATTACACTTCAAAAGTTATTAATCCCTTATATATTAAAGGAGAAACATTTAAAAAATTGTAACCTCAATTTTGTAATAATTAAAAAAGACTCCAAGCTTAGGTGTCACTCAATTAGGTAGTCAATTACATTCAATTGAAAAATAAGTAGGTCCACATTCGATTTTTATATTTTGCTAGATAAATTCTTTGGTCAAATTATATGATATGATGATATGATATGATATTTATGATAGAAGCATTTATGATTGTTTCCCTAGATATATTACTATTTTATTTTCTTTCCATAAATAAAACCTACGGAATTACTATAAATGACTAATATATATATATGACACTTAATGATTCTAATAATAAATATTTGATAACAGTTTATATATCATCCATCATTTTTCTTTAATTTTATATTATTAAAATAAATTAAACAATCAAATTAGCTATAAAATTAAACTTTAGATTTTTTCGAATAGGTTATATTTTGAATTTTAAAAAATGAAAATAAATAACTAAACTATTAAAATTATTATCTTAAAAATTAATGATCAATAGTTTAACATTTTTATTATAAAAAGATATACATGATTTTAAAACCATATAAGTAAAAAGTATCATTCAATAATAAAACAAATATATATACAAATTAAACTATATACCATATAAGATTACATAAATATTTTAATTTCAAAATCCTGAATAAATTTTCAAGAACATTTATAAATTATAAAATTATTACATTTTTCACATTGAAAATTTTTGTTATCAATGATTTAAATATCTTAGTTCTTTTTTAATTTTATATTTTTAAAAGATATTAACAATCGATAATATGGTTATTTTTGGTATATACCATACAAACCGAATGGATGTGATTTTATAAAAACCATAGGATTTGGATATGGTTTGATTTATAACCGATTAAACTGAAACATGTAAATATGTATATATTTATAACGACGCATGAATATCTATTTGTTACAGTTGAACTATAATTATAATTTGTAAATAGCTAATAATTTATTACAACTTAGACTTCTTATTTTGATCTTTTTCTTTTTAACAATAACTAAATTGAAGTAAAGATTATAAATTTGATGGACAACAATTAGTTGAAATTCTTTACAACTTTTTTTTATCTTTAAACCAACAGAGTTGTGTTCAATCGAAGACATATTGGTTTGATGAACACTAAATATGGAAGAATATAAAAACTTTTCTTTCATGCTTCTGTTTTGTTTTTTATTTTTATTTTCAAAATTTAGTGTTTTGATATTAATTCTAGATTTGATCATTTTATTAGATGATATAAGCTTTTTTTATTCTTTTATTTAAATATATAATATTTTTTTTAATAAATGACTCTGTGACAATATGACTCTAAATATGATCATATTATATATTTGTATAATATATTATATGATCTCAAACTAAATAATCATGTTTTTTGGTATAAAATTGAATAAACTGAAAACCGATAATATAAACCAAATCAAACTGAAGTACATATAGATTTAGAATAGTAGTTATATTTTAATAATCGAAATACCAAAAAATCGAGCTGAAACCGAAATCCGATATTCGGATTGAACACCTCTAATCCGAATGAAACCGAACTATTGTTTCATTTTTCAAAACATAATAAAAATAGTAGCTTCATCCCGCGCAAGGCGCGGGTCTTATCCTAGTGTATGTAGTATTTTAGACCTAAAAAGATTATGCGTTCCATCCATAAATGATCAAATTGATGTATTTGCTTGAGATGCGCCATATTCATTGTCAATAAGTTCATTGTTGGACCTGATATTTATGAGGACATATATATATTTTTCTTCTTATCGTAAAAATAAATTAAACAATTAGACAAACTAAATTGGGTATAACAACTATATATTAGCTCTATATATACTAAACAGCTGTCAAAGCTTGTCCGAGACTAGTTCTGATGGCTTCGATAGCATCGGAGCTGGTCTCGCTTCCTTTCTTTTTTTGTTATTTTCTGTTGTTAGATGTGAATAGTCTGGTCTTCTTCTCTCGATAGTCAGAGTCTGACGTTTTATTGCTGTTATGTGATTATGAGTGGCTCAGAGTCTCCCTGGATCGTTTTGATCGAAGGTAAGTTTGGTTCCTTCTCTCTGATTTTGTGTGTTTCAAGTGGAGATGGTATTGCCGTTTATATGTCTGCTTGGGTTGTTCGCTGGTTCGTCATGCTGGTTCTCTGCACTATTTCTTTATCGACTTGTTCGCTGGTTCGTCGGATCATTTGTTGGGTTTGGTGGTGGCAGAGTTTCTTCACGTAAGTTTTGTTATTGGATACTGATGTCTTGTTATCGGAGACCAATGCTTCTGCGAAGAGCTTATAATGTCGTTGATCTGAATGGGTAAGGATTCATCATTTGGAGTCGGACTTTGGCTCATGTTATACTCTTCTCAAGTCGTTAATGTGGATAAAAGTATATTTTGCAATTCTTAGGGTCCTCCAGGGTCTTATGAATTTTGATGATTGGAGAGTGGAAACATGTTAGGTGTTAGAGGAATCTGGCTACGTCATCTGCTGCAGTGAGTATTGCCAAGGACTTTCATACGCAGTCGTATGTTGTTTCATGAGGTCTTTTTTGGCTCCACCACTTGTTTGTTTAGGAAGCAGTAACGACCTAACTTCTTCTCAGCTCGAAGGGATATGTTGCACCATTGTGATACTCTCACCACAGTCTGCAATGGAATGACCTATTCTCTTTTTTCTTTCTTTTGGTGAGCATCCTAGAATGCTGTCTATTGGTCTTATGAAGTTTGATGATTGGAGAGTGGAAACATGTTAAATGTTAGAGAAATCTGGCTAAGTCATCTGCTGCAGTGAGCATTACCAAGGACTTCCATGCATAATTGTATGTTGTTTCATGAGGTCTTTTTTGGCTCTACCACTTGTTTGTTTATGAATTTTGATGATTGGAGAGTGGAAACATGTTAAATGTTAGAGAAATCTGGCTAAGTCATCTGCTGCAGTGAGCATTACCAGGACTTCCATGCACAATTGTATGTTGTTTCCTGAGGTCTTTTTTGGCTCTACCACTTGTTTGTTTAGGAAGTAGCAACGACCTAACTTCTTCAGAGCTCGAAGCGGTATATTGCTCCATTGTCATATTCTCGCCACAGTCTGCAATGAAATGACATATTCTCTTTTTTTTTTCTTCTTTTGGTGAGATGTCCTAAAATACTGTCTATTGATGGTATCTTGTTTTTTTTTTTTTTATGTTGTTCTTTAACTGTTTTTTTTCTACAAATAGTGTTTCAACCGACCATTTGGTCTGCTTTTGTTTGTTCTTATTATGGATTGTACACACTGAAATTTTCTTTGAATGAATGAAAATCGAGAGTTAAAAGGACAACTATATATATAGGCAGCTAACTTTATTTTTTAAAGTGAACAAAAATATCAATATATTTGTTCAGAAGTATATTTATTTATTTTATAGGAAAATTCTCAAAATTGTGGACTATATAAATGGAGGCCCCATCTCAATGTATTTTCTGTGAATAAACTTCAACCACAACCTTTTCTGATTTTTTTGAGACCAACCTTCTATGATTTTTATGTCACTTTGGAGACCAATAATATGATCTATATTTTAAGATCGATGCATCTTTGATATTCAATAAGTGATACCTTTTGTATGTAGAGACATAATTAGTGAAACTGGATTATTTATATGCTAATATGCACAATGGTCTAAAAATTGGTCTAGACGGTGTTTTCTAGTAGATAAATCAGGTATGAACGAAACAATTTTTTTTAAAACTGATTTTTTTTTCTAGAAAATGTCACCTAAACATTAAAAAAAAAACAATCGGTCTACATATCTATTTAACCAATAATTCTCTATAAAACGACTAACCATGGCCTAACGAATTTAAAAACATTAAATATGCCTGAAAATAACAGTCGCGGGCCTAAGTTGAGGGGTTGTGGGAAGGCTATTTCAACTCCACTAGCTCTACTGAGGACATCTTAAACAAATATAAACACATACTAAAAACTATTCAAAAAATTATAATATGAAGTAACAATTATTACTTGTTCAAATAAAGTCACAAAGATATATTAACATAAGTTATATAACCTACTATATAGTTTATACGATTTATTATAAATCTTTATCAAACATCATTTGGATTTAAGATTTCTAGAGAGAAGTATGAACTATTCTTTTTTGTCGAGAATATTTTTGAGTATCTTACCATTGGTAAATCTTGAAACGACAATGTATATGCGTCCTCATAATATATTGCATGAATATTTTGTTGAAGAAAATTAAAAAAATATATCAGATTTCAGGTTTGAATATGTGTTAACTACTTCGGAATCGAAAGATTATATATCAGATTTATCTGTTTATGTGACCAGGTGACGTGAGTATCTTATTCCTATTGTGAGCAACCAGGTATGCTTGGTGCCGGTGGAAATGTCACCATGAAATTAGTTGATTAGGAGTCAGCCCCTAGAATATCTCCGGATTATCAAAAATTAGAAGATAAAATAAAATTCTTTTTAGTTATTAATCTAGAAGCATTTTAAAAGTAATTTTAAAGTTATAGATTATTTGCATGCATGCCATTGTTTATGTGTCAGTACCATAAGCCTCCTCCACCTAAATTTGGAGTTATACTTTATTTTACAGGAAAATTACATGCAATGTCACTTATTTTATAGGAAAATTACATGCAAGATTATGTTTCTTTCCATATATTGCGTATTTTCTGCTCAGTTTATAATGAAAGGCCGAAGTAAATGCTTGAATGCCTAAAAGCATGTTCCATATGATATCTGCAAATGACAAACCCACACATATCATTCTAGGCATTTTGTGCTTAGAATCCGTTAACAAGAAAACATATAGCTATCCAGTACGTCTTTTGGTTTATGATATTAGTAAAGCTCCATATGCTTGAATGTTTTCAAAGCATGTTCCGTATGATATATTAAAGCAATTTTTGTACTTGCAAAACCTTAGTTTCTAACAAGTATGCTGGCTATATGAAAATATAGTTGATATAGAGCTCTACAGTGCCAGTGTAATATTTTTGGATATCCAAAGCAATTCATTAAAAAAACCTTTTGTATTATATATCTACTCTATTAAAATAGAATCATTCTTTTTATCTACTAATACAAGTTTTTATTTAAATTTGGACCATTTCCAGAGTGTTACAAATAATACAGGTCATATAATTAATTGAACCGTATTATTTAAATTAAACTGGTGATTATTTATGGAATATAATTTTGGGTTTACTTTGGTTTTTAGGAAAAATTATATATTTGGTTTTTGGGTTTAGTATAAAGAAAAAATCCAAAAATATTGAATAAACTTTCTATTCTAATGGATCAAAAAATCAATTATTATCTTTAGGCCCAAAGATATTTATTGTTTTTAACAAAACAAATTGTCTATTATTAATCATTTATTTAAATGATGCAATTTAAAACATGTTAATGTATTTTTTGTTTTAGATAACAATCACTTTGCTTTGATAAATTTCAATGGTAACTTTTAAAAAATTTAATGTTTTATTTTGCTTAGATAATTTACTGATTAAAATAAATAAATTTAAAGCAAAACCAAAAAATAAATCTAAAAACTAAAATCCAAAACCAAAAAACTGAAAACGCAGGTTATACTTTTGCTTTGTTTATTTACAAATAAACTATTGCAATTTTTTTTAAAAAAATTTTGTCATCTTTTCAGTTTTTTAAATTAGATGTTCTATTATTTGGGATTTGTTTGTTGGTAATATCAGTTCAAACTAACTCAGCGGACCTAAAAATTAAAAACCCAAACCAAAAGCTGAAAATCAAAAATAAAAACTTAAAAACTAAAAACCAAAACCAAAATTTTAAAATAAATCTAAAAATAAAAACTGAAACTAAAAACTAATGGAAAACAATCATCACCACAAATTTTGGTGAATTGGTTTTATACCAAAACATTCTTTAAATTAAGACAAAAGCCAATTATATATTTTTTTAACTATAAAAAATTTCCGCGCTTGAAAAGCGCGGATCAAAATCTAGTTTTTGTTTTAAAATATGGAGACACATAGGAAAAAAAAAAGAAATCCAAGGAAATAACATAAACAAAGAAAAAACTATACCAACAGTATAATATCAGCAACATGGCTTCTTATGTTTTACTTTTATTTAATACTTCATCCGTTTCATTTAGTTGTCATTCTAGGTTTTTACACATATTTTAAAGAAATATTTAATTTTATATATTTTCAAGATAAAAACACAATTACTTATACACCTAACCACTTTTCAACCAATAGAAAAATAGAGTATTATAAAAAATTAATAAATTTTGTCTCAAAACTCTAAAACGACACTTACTTTGTGACTAAAAAATAAGTTTAGAGTGACAATTATTCTGAAACGGAGGAAATATCAGATATATCTTTATAAATAAAATTGAGTTATCTACCCTTTTTTAAGCCTCTACGTCACTTTGGAGGGGAGGTCTTTCTCGCCAGGTGTCACAATCTTTCAAGTTATACGGAAGTTCAATTATTTTTTTCAAGGGACCTGCCAAATCAAATATATTTTAGTGAACCAAACCTTTTACGCAGCCCACTCGAGCTTCTTTTTCTGTGACCGTCTTCATCGTCTCTATTCCTCTCTGTTTCACTATAGAAACAAGAACTATATGTAACGCCTTCTTCATTATCGAAACCATCTCTTTATGTTTCACTATTAACTCGATCCATGAAGTTCTCCCACTACGTCGAATTTAATTACTCTTCTCCCCACCTCTTTTTTTTAAATCCTTAATTTTTACACTATAAATAATGATGCTACCATCTCCACTGCTTCGCCAGATTAATTACCATTCGTCCTTACAAACGCATCATATAACAGTGGGATCCCTTATGTTCTTTTTGATTTGAAGGTAAGAGACAACTCCTTTGCTCATTTCCGTGGTCTCGGAAGAGTAAAGCAAAGTCGCTGTGTTGTCTTGATCAACTCGCTCTAAAACTCATCTCCCACTCGGTTCCCTCCTCATCATTTTCACCAAACGCCTCACCACCCCCGCCGAGTCAACTCGCTCCTCGTCATCCATGAGCACGATCGGGACCGATGCCGCCGCGGCGGCGATCTTGGGGAGGAGCTGCGACGTGGTGAAGGCGAGGACGGAGTTGGAGTCTTTGATCTGTTTGGCTATCTTGGCAGCGGTATTGAGAGGGTTCGTGGTGGTGATGACGGGGCCGAGAGACATCACAGAGAAGCAGACGACAGGGAATAAGATGGAGTTCAGGGAAAGGAGGAGGACGACGTGGCCCTTGCGGTAAGGATGGTCACACTCATAAACTTGATCCCCTTCGTCATGCTTTTATCAGATTTCAGTCAATGCTTCTCCAAAGTTCCATATTTGTTCATCGCCTTAACATTTTTAAACATATGATGTTTACAAGCTCAGTGGGGTTTGATGTTACCTGAGGAAGGCAACTGAACTGATGCTATTTTATCTTTGCATAATCCGCGAGTAAAACTGGTGTCTCAGACACTACTCTTATTGACATTTAAGAGGTAATAAACTATTTTTACATTGCTTCGCCATGTTCTTACTTATCCTCAAAATGATTCTAGGAAACTCTAGCCTCTCGCTTCAAGACCGTGTGAAGCTACTGCTTTCTTTAGCCAAAGAATTTGATGTTAACATAGAGCAAGTCTGGGAAGTCATTAAGCAATATCTTGGACTTGAGAATCCACCCACGAAATCTTTTGTTTTTGTTTTTTTATTGCTAATTCTTCAATAGATTTCTCTCTTGATGAACAACGCTCTTTAGGTGACAATGGAGATCTTCATTCAACAAATAATGAAGCTTTATCTACTGTTTCCTGTCACATTGAGTGGAATCTGAGGCATTCTCTCAATCCTACATATGAAACTCTTTTTGAGATGTTGAATATTCATCCTAGAGGGTTGCAGTTTTTGTCCATTCTCTGTGTTGATCTTCATTAGTCATATTACGAATGTGGCTTAGTCCTACTATTTTAAATCTTCATCGAATCACTTGGGATGATCATGCTTCATTGGTTGAGAAAACTGTTGCTTATGAGGTATGTGAAAGTACTTTCATTACCATAATCTCCAAAACAATTTCGTTTTTAGTCTAACATTCTGTTATTTATAAGGTGTTGCATCCAATCAGCAACATCTTGGATCTTAAAAAAGATTGGGAATAGGTCGTTGATGATTTGGTTATTATCATCCATCTATTCATAGTTAGTTAGTTTTATACACATGTTTCTTTGATGGTCACCAGCTTAACCCTACTGCAACTTTTGCATTACATGTTAACCATCTCTTTTTATACTACTTATCCTTTTAACATACAGTCTAACATCTTATAATGCGTTTGCGGGGACAACAACCTAGGTGACGATCTGCCAGGCTACATGTGTGTCATGCATCTGCTCTAAAAGCCACAAGTTGTCTGCAACTGATCAGGCCACCGGCAGTGGTGGGCGTCCAATTACTGAAACAACAGTAGCTGAGAAACACACAGTTAGGAGCTCAGCAAAGGAGCCACATGTTTCAGCAACAGAGAGGGAGATTAAGAACGAACCCAAAGCAGAGATGCTGAAGATAGCCAAATGAAGACTACCTCTACTTTCTCGCAAGCTTTGTTATCATTTAGTTTCTTAGAAAAATCTATGGTTCTACTTTCACGTTTCCTATGTTCTAAATCAACAAAAGCATATTTCATCTTAATCCACTTCAGTTTTGGTTGACATTTGTTTCCAAGCTCTGGGTATTAACGTATTTAGATAATCTTTACTGGTGGCACAAAACAAAATACAGTTCAGTATTATACACTAATGAACAACTACTCGGATAAGAAAGGGGGAAACTAAAGACAAACTCCAAAATATGAATAAGTTTGTGTTAAACACTTTTATGTTGTTTTTCAAGGAGCAGAAGGGAGGATGCAAGAATCAATTGAAATGAAAATAAGAAGAAGGTTTAACAATGTCAAGAAGCAGCTGGTTCAGAGTTTCAGAATCTTTATTAATCAAAAATTATCAATGGATGTTGGGCTACTGTTTTTTTTTTTTTTTGCTCCTCAAATTCCAAAATTGACATTCCACTAAAAATGAAGTCATTTTCCACTAATTATATTGTTTGATTTCAAATCATTAACATCTCTTTCTCCCTTACTTTCCCAGTTTTGTTTTCTTTTAACTATATATTTATTGAAATGATGTAAGAAAAAACATATTTACAAGAAAAGAATCCAATGTTTGTTTTAAATTTAAACAAGTCATAAAGCTTAAACTATCTGAGCAACAACAATCACTATAGAGGATGGAAGAATAGCAAATAAAAACCAATATGATATTAGATTGAACTTATAACAAAATAAAATAATAAATGTTGACTTAGTCGAAAAAGCAAAAGATTGTATGAATAGGAATATAAATTTTATTACAATGTTTTAGTGTAAATTATTTGTATTGAGTTTGAAACTAAAAAAGTTAATACACCCTAATAAATACTTTAGAAATTTTAACCAGTTGTTCTATAAATACTAATGTATGTATCTCGAACATATATCAATTTGAAAATTTTAAAATAATAAACTCAAATATAAAATTTAGTTCTTAATAGCTTTTAAATGTAATAAAAATTAAAACTAGGATTAAAATGTCTTAAAAGGTGTATTTTCAAAATTTAAATAATAGATAGGGATACTTATCAAGTATCCCTTTTTATGTTTATTTTGATTTTGATTTTAAATTAGACTCTATATTGAATTTTATCGACCTTTGACAAGAGAAATACCTATGTATATGCAAAATTGTAGTGTGCACTAAAACCAATATTTTTAAAACCGGACTAATCAGGTGGTTGTAGCAGGCTCGACCATGAACCAGTCACGTAACCGGAATGTATCTAATAACTGGTTTGACCATGAATCGTCAAGCAGTCCAATTGGATCTCAAAGTTATTGAACTTTATAAAATCATTAAATTATCAAATATATAAACTAACCATATGAAAAATAGTATATATGTATAGTGTTTTATATTTTAATTATGTATCATATTTACTATCTTTACTTTTAAATTTATTTATAATAAAAATACTGAACCAAATTATTGAATCAAGTTTGATCCCGTCAAACCATATTATATCATGATTCAAATAATAATCGTGTTATGCATCTAGTCAAGTTTTAAAAACATTTCAAAAAACTAAAATGTGGGTGGTGTATTAGTTTCATTGAAAAGTGACCAATCCACCCACACATATATAATAAACCGATTTTTAAAGCTATTTAATTTGCAAGTATTTTCCTTTTGTGACAGAAGCAGGACATGTTGTGACAAGTACAAGAGATTAATTGGTTGGATGATCAAAACCAACAATAAAAAAATAAGTTTTTTTTAAACTAAGACTAACAAACCAAAGGTTAAAAAAACATATCAGTTTATAAGAATAATATTCGATATCACTTACTTCTCTTCACAATAAGATGTATTATAGTTTGTTCCATGACTTGGAACAATATCAATGTCACAACAAACTTCGTAATTAAATAAGACTAATAAGCTAATATGTTGTAAAGAAATTATGAAATTAAAAACAATACGAAGACAGAAAAATAGGTGTGACTAACAAATATAAAACTAATAAGTATGAAAAATGACAACGAAGAGTTCATTTGATTTCAATTGATGATGCAAAAAAAGAAATAAAAAAGAAAACAGTTTATCTAACTAACAGAAATTTATCAAATTTAAGATTTTGGGTTTATTATCGTATCAAATTGTTTATTATGGTATCCGGACTAAATGATATCAACATATGCCTCATTCCAAAAGTGGATAAACCAAATTAGATGAGTCAGTTACGCCCGATTAGCTTATGTAATGTTAGCTACAAGATTATCTCTAAGGTCTTATGCCAGAGATTAAATAAGTTTCTACCAGACATGATCTCAGAGACCCAGTCAGCCTTTGTTGTTGGGAGACAGATATCTGATAACATTATGATAGCTCTGGAGTTGTTCCTCGCTCTAAAAACAAAACCGAGTGGCCGAAACAAGAGGATGGCTATCAAAACAGATATGAGCAAGACATATGATATGATGGAATGATCCTTCATTGAGGCCACCATGAGAAAGATGGACTTTGCTGAAGTCTGGATAACTATGATAATGAGATGTGTAACTTCAGTAAAGTATAAGGTCCGCATGAATGGACAGCCAAGAGGGAATATTGTCCCGGAGAGAGGTCTACGACAAGGGGATCCTCTGTCCCCTTTCATTTTTATTCTGTGCACGGAAGCGCTCGTTAGCCTTCTAAATCACGCAGAGAACCAAGGAAAGATAACGGGGATGCGCATCACGCGTGCGTGTCCCTCGGTATCTCATCTTCTCTTTGTTGATGATAGTCTGTTTTTCTGTAAGGCGGATCCCCGTGAATGTGAAGAAGTAATGAAAGTGGTCAATGTATATGGACAAGCCTCAGGACAATGCATTAATTTTGATAAGTCTTCTTTACTCTTTGGTAAAAGAATCGGCCAGGAGGTGAGACAAGAGATCATAGACACACTTGGGATCCAAAATGAAGGAGGCATGGGGTCATATTTAGGTATACCAGAGGATATCAGTGGGTCCAAATGTAAGCTCTTTGCTTTCCTTAAGGATAAGTTGAGAAATAGAGTGAATGGATGGACTGGGAGATGGCTTTCTAAAGGCGGGAAAGAAATTATGATAAAATCAATCCTGCTTGCTCTTCCGACGTATGTAATGTCTTGCTTCCTTCTCCCATTGGAGATTTGTGAGAATCTAGCTAGTGCCATTTCACAGTTCTGGTGGAGCTCAAATCCACCAAAAATGGGTATTCGCTGGTCAACATGGGACAAATTATGCTTACCCAGAGAAGAAGGCGGAATTGGCTTTAGGATGATTCATGAGTTTAACCTTGCGTTACTAGCGAAGCAACTATGGAGACTGGTACGGAACCCGGACTCTCTGGTGGTCGTGTCTTGAGAGGCCGGTATTACAGATTGAGTACGCATTTGCGTCAAATCAATGCTAGCAGCACCTCATATGTGTGGACAAGCATATCAGCTGGAAGAGAATTGCTATTATTAAGAATTAGACAAAAAATCCACTCGGGGTATGAAGTTAAAGCTTGTGAAGATCCTTGGATTCCTACTATACATGCGAGACCAACAACCCCGTTGGCACCGGTTCTGCATCCGAATATGCGAGTGAGCGATTTGATTAATCAAACAACGAAGACTTGGGATGATAGCCGCCTTCACAATTATATTGATGCAGCTGACATACTACTCATCAAGAGTATGGCCATTAGCTCCACACATCAACGAGATATGTACTGCTGGAGCTATACGAGGACTGGGCAATATACAGTTAAATCTAGATACTGGGTAGCACGAAATATCTTGAGGAAGGAAGAGGAACCTGAAGTATGTGAGCCTAGTATCACAAAGCTCCAAGCACATGCTTGGAAGGTCAGAGCTCCCCAAACGATTTGCCATCTTATGTGGCAGTTGATTACATGACATGTAGCTGTTACAAGCATCTTAAATTACAGACATATGAGATGTGACAACCACTGCCCTCGATGTGGGGAACCCGAGGAAACAATCACACATGCAATATTTGAATGCCCACCTGCATTACAGGTTTGGGCGCTATCATCTACGCCTACTAATCCCACTATGTTTCCAGTACAAAGCACGTATGCGACTATGGACTATCTATTCTGTAGGAAGAATGTAATAATGGAACCAGAATTGGACAGGGATCCTTATCCTTGGCTAATCTGGTACATTTGGAAGGCTAGGAATGATAAGCTATTCAGAGGCATTGATAGGGACCCATTGGAAGTAGCGCACTATGCAGAAAGTGAATGTCAAGCATGGATTCAAGCGAATGAGCAGGATATATCGTCCTCCCTTGGGGACGGGGTAGATGAGGACCATGCCTTAAGTTCGGGTAACATATGCATCACTACAAGAAAACACGTCTTTTACTAGGACGGTTTTCCTCGTTATTTCCTAGTAAATGGCCCTTTACTAGGAAATAACGAGGAAACGTGTTTCGTCGAAAGACGTTCATCGTAAAGCCTATTTTCCTCGTAATTGCCTAGCTAATTTACGAGGAAAAGTTTCCTCGTAAAGACGTGGAAAAGGTTTCCTCGTAAGCTCCACGTAGACTTTCCTCGTAAGGGCATAGTAAAGTATTTCCTCGTAACCTTGTAGTAGGTACTTTACGAGGAACTTGCTAGGAAAATTTACGAGGAGTTTACTTCGAAACGTTTACGAGGATTTTGCTTCGAAACAATTTTTTCCTATTTAAAAAAAAATATTTATAAATTAAAATTATATATATTAAAAATAATTAAAAAAATAAATAACAAAATATTTATAAATAAGTAAATAATATACAATAAATAAGTTTTAAAATTCATAATATACAATTAAAAACTAAAAGGGATGCTGGTCTTGAAATTGGTTCACGAAGTCGTCGTCTCCAATGTTGGATGCCGGCTGTGACTGAGATGGTGGAGGCTGTTGGGATGGAAGGGGTCCGCTTTCCCGTCTCTGACGCAACACTTCCGCCACTTGCGGATTTCCAACCGCTACAATGTCGAGGATATCCGTGAGCGTACGCACATGAGACTGCGTCGCCTGCAACTCCGTCCGCAGCTGAGCATTGTCATCGGCTTGTTGGTGAACACAAGCCGATG